CGAGCTCCGACCCACGCCTCCGCCTGCCTCTGCAGGTCGGGATCCTAGAACACCCTCGGCCGCACAGGCGGGCCACCTGGCGCGATGCTTATCGGTGCCCAGAACCATCCCCGCAGGTCCCCGTTGGGGCCAGGTGGCACGTATCCATGAGCCTCTCCCACGACCACGATGTGGTGCGAGGTGACCCGAGTGTGTTGAGACTGACCCTGGGGCGGACAGGACCCCAGGCATGTAGCGAACCGCACCCACCACTCCCCGGCAAAGGTGGATTTATGCAGTCTCAAGTTCCCCCAGGACGCTGCGCGTGTGTGCTTCACCAGCCCGCCAGGCAGCAGGAGGAGGAGGCGGAGGAGTAAGAGGAGGAGGAGGAGGAGGATGAGGATGAGGAGGAAGAAGAGGAGGAGGATATCCTGAGGCGCCTCTCGAACGCCTCCTGAGGGCATATTGGGAGCCTCTCGGGGCCTCTTGTGCGCCTCCTGAGGGCACATTGGGGGCAGCTTGCGGCGGGCGCATATGAACGCAGCCACTGGGGCCTTCGGTGGAACCCCCTGCAGCTCCTTATGGGGCCACCAAGCGTGTGATGGGTGTGCCGAAATGGGTGCTGCGGGCGCATGCGAACGCAGCCACTGGGGCCTGCCCACCAATGGAGAGGAGGCATGCTGCCCTATAGTTTCCATATGTGCTGTCAATGTTGTTACATGTGTTATGAATGTCCACCTCCGCGGGGGAATCGTCGGGACATGTTACAAACACGCATGTAAACGTATGTTTAACACATTAAAATCACATCAAGCAATATTACAGCAACATACGAGCTACTGTTTATGGTTCGATCAGGTTGTTTGAACGTTTTTTTACTGTGCGATCGGCAACTATTCAAACCACATCTTAAACAACACTGACACTACACATCATAGGTTTCTGCATATGTTTTGAAGGTGCTACATTCCCCCGGGCGGACGGAGGACGTCAAACAAATATTAAGCACACATTATAATACATCAGTAATTCGATGATGGGACTGTTCAACCTTGCGTAGTCATGGCATCCACTACCCTATAGGGCCACGAAACGTGTGAGGGGTGTGCCGAAATGCTTGACTGGTGCGGAGGGCAGAGGCAGGAGTAGAGAGGAGGAGGAGGGAGGAGGGAGAGCATGATGAGAGGAGAGGGGGAGGTGGGAGACGCGGGGCGCTGTCTTTTCAAAAAGAGGACCCAACACCACATAATGGTTGGGAACACATGCAAAGTGCTTACGGGGCGCCCGCGCACAGTCCAGGCGGTGCCGCAAGGTGGACTTGGCATTGATTTGTGGCAGGGATGCCAGGTGGGTGGGGCCGCGTAGTCCCGGGTTTGTCGTTGGTCAGGTGGGGGGAGGGTGCATATTGATAAGGAGCGTAGATCAAGACACCTCCCAGACGCAAACGGCTTGGCTCTTTCGCACCCGTCATCCCACGGCATAAGTAACACCCGAGTCTTAGCATATTCAGCGGTCGTCTTTGGATGTGGTAGTTTCTGGGAACCAAAACGATGCCCAGGTGCGCGACCTTCGGGCGAGGGGCGCCACGAGTGCCAGGGGCGCTACTTGCACTAGGCGCGCCGGGTGCCCACGGCCCAAGCGTGCCAGGCTCGCCTGGTGCACCATGTCCGCCACATGCGCCAAGTGTGCCGCATGCTCCATCCGCGCAGGTGCGCCACGTTCGGGGCACGCGCAGAGTGTGCCAGGCGCGCCCGCGCACATCGAGAACATGTCGCACCCAACGATATTTGCCGAACACCATGCAAGAGCGCGAGGGAGTGGGCATCATGATGCCTGGTGGGCCTGCGCACAGCAGGTCATGCTTCATCACCCCCGCCGTTCCTGTCAAACACCTGCGCAAAGCGATCGCGGGCTGCCCGCGCATGACCCGCATGGAGCCTCGATGTGTAGTTGTTATTGTTTGTTGGCAGGGGTAGTGGCCCTACGCACGGCTGGCCATTTGCTGGCACCCTTGCCGCCCCTGCCAACAAAAAACTCTACGGCGTGCTCGCGGGCCCCCCGAGCCTAACCTATTCTCCGTTGCAGGGTCCGCGTACTGAATGGAGCACCCTGGTCTCCACGTCCTCCTCCCGCCTCCCGCTCTCGCCATCCCTGGGGGGCTGCGATCTGCGAAACTGTCGCCAGTTTCGAGGGCTGCTGGGGGGGGAGGCAGTTTAAGCGCTGCTACGCATATCAGAGCGTGACCTCGCCATCCCTGGGGGGCTGCGATCTGCAACACGATCTTCACTTCCGAGGCCTTTTGCGGGGGGCAGCATAGTGGACCTGCCGCAGATCCAGATTAGACTTCGCCATCCCTAGGTGGCTGCGTCTGCGAACATGTAGCCACTTTCGAGGCCCGCTGGGGGGGGGCAGCATAGTGAGCACCCGCCGTAGATCCAGACTCGACCTCGCCATCCCTGGGTGGCTGCGATCTGCGAAATTGTCGCCACATTCGAGGCCTCTCGGGGGGGGGCAGCACAGTGGGTACCCACCGAAGATCCAGAATTGACCTCGCCGTTCCTGGGGGGCTTCGATCTGCGGCACTGTCGCAACTTTCAGGGCCTGTTGGAGGGGCTTGCATAGTGGGTACCCGCCGCAGACCCAGGATATACCTCGCCATCCCTGGGGGCTGCGATCTGCGAAACTGTCGCCACGTTCGAGTGCTGTTGGGGGGGCCAGCACAGGGGCCCCACCCAGACTCATATCAGACCTCGCCGTCCCTGGGGGACTGCGATCTCCGACATTGTCACCACTTTCGAGGGCTGCTGGGGGGGAACGCAGCGGGGCCCTACCCATGTTCAGATTAGACCTCGCCATCCCTACGGGGCTGCGATCTGCGAACTTGTCGCCACTTTCGAGGGCTGCCGGGGAGGCCAGCACAGTGGGGCCCCATCCAGAGTAAGATTCGACCTCGCCAGCCCTGGGGGGCTGCGATCTGCGAAACTGTCGCCACGTTCGAGGGCTGCTGGGGCTCCAGCGAAGTGGCGTCTTACGCAGATTCAGACTAGACCTCGCCATCCCTGGGTGACTGCGATCTGCGAAACTGTCGCCACGTTCGAGGGCTGCTGGGGCTCCAGCGGAGTGGCGTTTTACGCAGATTCAGACTAGACCTCGCCATCCCTGGGTGACTGCGATCTGCGAAACTGTCGCCACGTTCGAGGGCTGCTTGGGGGGGCAGCTTAGTACTGTGCTGCGCAGATCAGAGCGGGACCTCGCCATCTTTGGAGGGTTGCGAACTGCGAAACTGTCGCCACCTTCGAGGGCTGCTAGGGGCTCCAGCGGCCAGCGGAGTGACGTCTTAAGCAGATTCATATTAGACCTCACCATCCCGGGGGGTGGGGGGAGCTGCGATCTGCAAAATGGTCTCCACGTTCGAGGTCTGCTGGGGTGCCCAGCTTAGTGGAGATCTTACGCAGATTCATATTAGACCTCTCCATCCTCGTGGGGGGTGATATGCGAAATTGTCGCCACTTTTTGGGGGCTGATGGTGTGCATATTTCGAAACAACATCATCTCTATCCTTCCTCTGGCCGCCTTTTGTCGTCACTCTCGTGCTGCTGCCATGTACCCTTGCTGCTGCCCCGCTTACGTTTCCAACTCCCTTTCCGCCTTCTCCTCTTGGTCCTCGCCCCGCTTTCCCCTCGACCCAGAGAACTACCTAATCACCTCCATCAAGCCCGTGTCCATTGATCGGTGTCATGCGGGCCGCGCACCTCGCGAGCTTCCCGCAGACCTTTCGCAGAACATGTATCCTCCTGCCACGTTACCACCCCCCATAAAGTCGGGCCAGCTTTTCTGGCCATGCGTTGCGCAAGGGTTGGGTAGATCGTCAGGATATGTTTTGTCAGTGGTGGCGGGGATGCCCGCGTTGTTTCGGGTTTGCTGCGGGGCGGGTGGGGGGGGTATATTACCAAGGAGCAGTGGTACATCCCTTCCCGAAGGGGGAGACGGGGGTTGGAAGAGGAAAGGCTCGAAACCACTCACGCCCACAGGGCAGCTGGGATTTATACGACTTCGCGTGGGACTGTATATTCAAAACAGGAATTTGAAACCGGCTGTAGCTGGCCGACATTGTACCACTGCCTTCGACATGTGGGATCACGAGCTTTCCCCGGTGGAGGCCCCCCCCCCGTGTTGGTGTTTTGTTGGTCCGTTTCCAAGCATCCGAAGGCCGACATCCAGAACTGAGAACGATATTCGGTCTTTGGAGGTTTTGAGTTCTGAGCCTCCAGGGCGGGCGCGGGCGACGACGACGAGGGGGACGAGGTCGAGGACGAGTTCAAGGAGGACGACGACGAGGACGAGCACGAGGACGACGACGGGCACGAGCACGAGCACGAGGACGACGACGAGGACGACGAAGACGGCGACGACGACGACGAGGCCGAGGTCGAGGACGATTTCGAGGAGGACGACGGCGAGGATGAGGACGAGGACGACCGCGTGGACAACAGCGATGACGACGGCATGGGCGACGTGGACGACGACGACGACCACCACCGAGTTGACAATGAACACGACCACGTTTCCAACGACGACCACCACGTGGACAACGTCGACGATTTGGCTGATATCGACGACGACCACCACCACCACCATCACGTTGACATCACTTTATCAACGACGGCGACATCCAGACCAAGGGTCGAATCTCAGTTGTTTGGGGCTCCTGCTCCTCTGGGGCGGAGGAGCGGCATTTCAGCGGGCGCGGACGACAACGACGATGACCACGACGACGACGACGACGATCACGTGGACGACGACGACGACGACGACGACGACGACGACGACGTCCACAATGCCGACGGCGACCGCGACGGCGACGACGTCGTCGCCGTGGCCGTCGCCGTCATGGCGAGGCGCGGTTGCCGTTGCTGTCGGTGTCGCCGTCGCCGCCGTCGTGGTCGCCGTCGCCGCCGCCGTCGCTGCGGGGCGCGGGCTGCGACGGCCCTTGGGGCGGCGCGCCCGCCCCGCCGACGAAGGCGTGGAGGCTGCTGGAGGGCGCGGCGTGCTGGGCCCGCGGCGGCGGGGAGGCGCGCTCCCCGCTTGGGGTCGCCGGGGCAGGGTTTTCCTACTCTTTCTCCAGCCCGTTCCCCTCCCCCTCGTCCTCCTCCTCCTCCTCCTCCTCCTCCTCCTATTTTTGCCTTCAAGAACAACTCCTCCCTGTCGCACCCCGGGGCCGGTCGAAAGGACGGGCCCGGCGTTTCGGTTGAGACTTCCTCACCGTTTTTGATCCTGAAGCTGAGACATTGGCAACATATTCACAGATGGAGGGCGGGTGGTTTTCAAAATGTGGCTCTCCTTTTAGCGCCGCGCACATCCGTCTTCAACATTTGCAAGATATTCACGGATTGAGGGCGGGTCGTTTTCAAAATGTGGCTCTCGAATTTGCGCCGTGCACATTCGATTTCAAACATTGCAACAGTTTCACTCATTGAGGGCGAGTCGTTTTCAAAATGTGGCTCTCGCCTCAGTGCCGCGCAAATTCGTTGTCAAACATTGCAACAGTTTCACCGGTTGAGGGCGGTTGGTTTTCAAAGTGTGGCTCTCGCTTTTAGCGCCGCGCACATTCGTTTTGAAATTTCGCAAGATTTTCACGTATTCCCTGGGTTAGCGTACCAGAGACTGTGTTTTGGAGCGGTTCAGGATTGTCAGGGCGCAACAGTTATTCTGATTCGCGGTGCTGAAGTCCCAGGAATGGTGCCCTGCACGATTCAGGATCGCCCAGACGTGCCAGTCAGAGCAATTCGTGGCGTTGGTCTTCTGAGAATGGTGTTTTGGCACGCTTCAGGATTTTCACACGGTTGCCCCCCCCCCCCCCCCCCCCCCCCTACGGGGCAAGTTCTTCAGTGGGTATGAACCTTTGTCGAGGCCTATTTAGAAGGAGCTTGGAGGGAGTGTATTCCAACGTCGTTGATGAGTCTTGGGTTTGCATTTGTCCTCCTCCTTCTCCACCGCCTTCTCCTCTTCCTCCTACTCCTCCTTTCGTCCTCCTCCTCCTCGTTTCATCCTCCTCCTCCTCCTCCCCCTCCCTCCCTCCTCCTCCTCCTTTCCTCCTCATCCTGCTCCTCCTCGTGGAGCGCTGCTCCTCCTCCTCCTCCTCCTCTTCCTCCTCCTCCTCCTCCTCCTCCTCCTCCTCCCCGTCCGTCCCCTCCAGTGGGCCATCCTGGCCCGTCCGAGCTGTGCCGGCCTGAAGCCGCGGCCACCGAGGGCGCCCTCGGGGGGCCGGCTGAGGAGGGAGCAGGGGCTCAGGCCAGGGGCGGCCAGGAGGGGGTTGATGGCCACATCCTTTTGGGATGCAACTCCTGGGAGGTCAAATTCTGATTTTGCACTGATCCGAAGGCCGGCTTAATCCGGCTTGATCCCGCTTCATCCGCTTAATCCGGCTTAATCCCGCTTAATCCGAGGCCCACTCCGGCGTAACAGTTCCCAAATGGGGCTTAATCCTCCTTAATCTTTCCGACGAAAACCTCCCAGTAGTTGCCCCCTCAATTCTTCCTCGAAATCAAACGCGATTTTTTTCCCGCGACATGGCGGCGCTCCCCGACCCCCGATTTCAATGTTCATGCCGAAATTGGCGACAGCATTTTTTTTCGGACCCCGCGGGCCGCATTGCGCGCTTCGATCAGCATGGGATTTCGGGGGCGAGGGGGTTGGATACAATCGTGCGTTCGATTCCAAGGGAGGTTGTAGGGGTGGGGGGGTTGGCATATCATGGCGGGGGCCATGATGATGTCCAAGGGTGTTCGCGGTGCGGGCGCTTCGGCTGGCGTCGCATTCGGTGGCGTTCGGTCTGGTTCGGTTCGTCGGGCTGTTGTGTCGTTGCTTCGTCGCTGCGCCATTCTCTAGGCTTCCTGCGGCCTGTCGGTTTGGGTCTCGCTGTCGGCTCGGTCTGTTTTCGGTTTTGCCGTCGCCGTGGATGGCCTTGTGAATATCACGGCCAGGGGCCACGAATCGCCAGGAGCGTGAACGCCTCCTGAGCCAGTCGTATCGTGACACTGCTCTCTCGGGGGCAACGTTAGCGGGGGAAGGCTCAGGGTGGGATGCATCGACCCCCAATCGCCAACCCACCGCCGAGAGGGCCCCTGATGGCCCGCCCCGCCCAGGAGCGTGTGGCTTCGCTATCGGGGGCCCATCGCCGATCTATCAGCGATGTATCACCGATTCCAGGTCGATGTTTCCCCCCCCTGAGCCCGTTCCCCTCTATCGCCTCCCAGCAGAGGCTCAGAGGAGTCGTGTCCTGACGTTGTTCTCGCCCTTGAGGCGCGAGACAGATCTTGCCCTCGGCTCTCGACCTTCGAATATTCTTAGGCGCCGCTGCCGCGCCAGCGCGCGAGCGCACCTCCGAGACGAAGATGCCGACGACCCGCTGCCTCCGCCGTCGCCGTCGCTCCGAGACGGGGATGCATCCACATCACCGTCTGCTGAGGTCCCCGAAGATCGACCCACAGGCGGTGGTTATGGATGGATCCCCGTATCGCAGTCGTCGTCGTCGTCGTCGACGACGACGACGTCGCCGCTGACGTGCGCGGGCCCAGCGGCCTCCGCACCGAGGGGCGCGCGCTGGTGTGCCGCGCGCTGCTGGCGCAGCTGTTCGAGGCGGTCGGCGGTTCCTTCGGGGTGCAGCTGCGCGACGCGGCCAGCAGGCCAGACCAGTCGCTGTCGCCGGCGTCGTCATCGTCGTCGTGGTGTTGGTGGTCGTGGTCGTCGTCGTCGTCGTCGTCGTCGTCTTCCGTCGTGCGTCGTCCGTCGTCCGTCGTCCGTCGCCCATCGTCCGTCGTTCGTCGTCCATCGTCCTTAGTCTGTCGTCCTCGTCCGTCGTCCCTCGTCCGTCGCTCGTTGTCCGTCGTTCGCCGTCTGTCGTCCGTCGTTGTCGTTCGTCGTCCGTCGCTCGTCGTTCGTCGTCGACCCCCGTGGGAACCCCCCAGCTGGGCCCTCGGGATCCGCCAGCTGGACCCTCGGGATCCGCAGCCCCCTTGGGCCCCCGTAGACGCCCTTGCAGAGGGTTCCTCGGAGCTTCCGGGTCTCCTGGACGTCCCCGCCGGGCTTAGCGAGCGGGCTCAAAGCAGTCAGAGGATGTTCAAACGGCCTCGCGAGAGCCCCAAGTGACCTCAGACAACCACCAGACGCCCGAAGACGGCCGAAAGAACACCCCCAAGAGGCTCTCCAAACGCAGAAAACATGACTTGCCACTGGTTTTTGCATGATGGTTGGATGCTGGGTTCTTCGGGAGTCCGAGACCGCCCAAGAGATTGCGGCAATCGTCCCCAACCAACCCAAAAGGATTTGCAGACAGCCTAAGAGAACCCCAACATGGACCAACAGGGTTCCAAGATGGCCTGGAGCCCCATGACGACCCAAGAGGGCCCCAAGACGCTCCCACGAAACACTCCATATCGTAACCTGCTCCTGAGGGTCAGACCATGTTTGGCAGCAAGGCTGCCCGAGGAAGCTCTCAGAGGCCTCGAACAGGCACCCTGGAGTCCTCCAGGAAGCCCCCAAGGAGCTTTCCAAGGCCGCAAGAGAAGCTGAGGAAGACAGGGACAGTCTCGCAGGGTAACGCGAGAGCGAGGACATGGAAGAGAATACATGCCTGAATGAACCGCATATCCGTAAGGGCTTCGCCCCCTGCCGCCGGCCCCCTCTCTTAGAATGGGACTTGCCGGAGCTGTGTTGGGATGTCTGGGCGCTGATGTGACGCAATGTCGGGACTTCACGCGAGGGCCAATATCTTATTGTACGGTTTGCACTGCAAGCCTGAAGAATTGGCATCGGGGACGCACATATTGCGTACTTTGCGAGGATGTCTTGCCTCGGGGACGTAACCACAGCGTAATGTACGAGGGCTTCTGACCTCGGGGACGCGAAGCTTGTCAAATAATTTACGAAGGTGCATGGCCTCGGGGACGCGAGCCTTGTGTATTTTACGCGGGTTTGCGGCCTCGGGGCGAACATCTAGTGTAATTTATGAAAGTGTATGGCGTCGGGGACGCAAATATTTCGTAATGTGCGAGGATGTATGGCTTCGGGAAGGCGGATATGTTTACTTTGCACAAGTTTATGGCGTCGGGGACGCAACCATCGCGTAATTTACATTGGTTTATGGCTTCGGGGGCGCGATTACGGAGTAAGTTACGAGGGATTCTGGTTTTGGGGACGCGAATACGGTGTAATGTACAACTTTTTATGGTTTCGGGATCGCAATTATTGAATGAATTACGGTGAGTTGCGGCTTCGGGGTCGCGACAATGGTGTAATCTACGATGGTTTATGGCCTCGTGTGCGGTATACGCTGCACATCTTGTGTATTGTGCAGAACCGGACTGGGTCAGATCGAATGTACTGTTACGTTTTGGCCCAAACCCTTCGGGGCCCTTGAGTCGAGCGCGCCAGCGGTGTGAAGAGATCATCAGATGTTAGTCGGTTGTTCTTTCTGATTGTTGCCATCAAATATTTTTATATAAGTTCATATTGGTCGCGGAGCCTGGTCAGCCAGGCTCGTGCTTCGACCTTCCATATTTCAGCGACCTCCCTTCGGATCTGGTCGCCAACTCCATAATAGGCTTCGACCCTGCGGCGGATCTCATAGACCGCCTGGTCAGTTTGTCGACAGTCCCCGTTTGACTCCGCAGACTTGGGCGCTCCGATTTCGCGCAGCACACGTCGGGCACCAGCCCCTTGTAGTTGCAGTTCAGCAGGGTGTCCAAGCCGATGGCGGACATGCTACCCGAGCGAGGAGTTCCACAGTTCGACGGCGCGCTCAGCAAATGGAGAGAAATTGGGAAACGGGCGATGATTTTCATTGCGAAACTTACACTGGAGAAGAAGGAGGGCGAAGCGGCTCTCATGCTCAGTGCAGGTCTCACAGGAGAAGCGCGGGGCGAAGTTGAGGACTTCTCAGCAGACGAGCTCATCGAGCCCAACGCGGCGAAGCAGCTCATGGCCAGATTATGGAGTCGGTTCAAGATGGGCGACAGGCCAGAGCTCGCGGACGGTTTCGAGGAGTATTTCTTCAAGTTCAGGCGGTGCGAAGGTGAGGCGCTGTTCGCCTGCGTAGCGCGAGTGCGAGCAGCAGAGCGGCAGCTCAGGACGCGCGGCATCGAGCTGCCGCGAAGGTCCGAGGCTGGCTCGCGCTACGACGAGGAGGATGCAGCGCGGGCCAGAAGGCGGTCATCACGTGAGCAGTTGGTAAGGATTTCGCACGGGAGAAGGTTATTGAGGCGTTGGAGACAACATTCGGGCAGGGGAGTATCGTGCACGAGGCGGATCACGCACGGAAGCAGTTTTCCGTCGACGAGGGCGCAGCTGAGTACTACGACGAGGAGTTCTATACTGGCGAGCTTGAGGACGAGCCAGACGACTACGACCAGACGTACCGGGCGGAGGATGGCGAGACCTGATGCGACTGCGAAGAGAGCTACTACCCGCGCGACCCCAACACGGCGCAAGAGTTCAACCCGGGCGAGCGCGACGAAGTCTACGCAGCCTACGCAGGAGCCAGGAAGGGGTTCAACGACCTGAAGCTGGCGCGCGGCTTCTACCCAGTAGTGGCGATGGTAGGCGGGAGCGCAGGTTCGGCCGCGGCATCAGCAGGGGGTTCGCGCGGACGAGGCCGGTCAAGCAGCACAGGCGCCAAAGGGCGCGGCATGTCCGAAGGGGGAAAGGGCAGCCCCAAAGGATCACCCCCTCCAGGCGCACGAAGCAGACCGCGACCTACGGCAGCGGACCCAATGGGAAGAGCAAGGGCAGCGACGCAACCAGTGCCAACATCAACGCCATCGGCCAACTGCCTACGACGCGGCAAGCCCGGCCACTGGGCTTGGGATTGCACCGAGCCGCCCAACAAGAAGCGGGTCCACGCCGACGACAGCGTGATGGTCGATGAGTCTATTGGGGCGACAGGTGCCATAGCAAGGCCAACACCAGCGCAATGCGAGCTAGCAACGGAGTCATGGACTGGAGCGACGACCCTCATGTCCGGCTCAGAGACGATCAAGGATTACGCGAGGGACTGCAGACAGAAGGGCTATCCCATAGAGGACCTCAGGTTCTACATGTGCCGACTGCCTTTTCGGTTCGGTAACGGCAAGATCGAATATGCGCAGTGGTGTGGCACAACGCCTACCAGCTTCAAGCAGAGATCAGGCGCGCTCTACATCTACGTGGCACTGGGAAGCACGCCCATTCTATTGCCGAGGCCGTTGCTGGAAGTGTTCGGAGTTCAGGTCGACTACGCCAAGCAGACAGTTGCGTTGAACGGCGGCGAGTTCGACGCTGCAACAGCAGGGGCAATCACAACGGCGACCTCACATAGCAGGCTGTTCCCGACGCGTAGTACAAGTTAATTGCTGCAAAGCCTACATGAAGCAGTGGCAGTGCCAGCGGCATTCCTCATGTGGCAACCTGTGCTTCACTACGACAGCCATCGAGCCAGTCGACACCGCACTATCGGAGCCACGCCGGCGCCTACTGTCACCTGCGACGGACGGAGTCTGTTTCAGCGCCGACGACGCCCCGATTACGGCGTCAAGCAGATTTCGACAAATTTCGTTCAGAAGATCGGCCCATCCATTGAGCATGCCAGCGAGCAGCACCTACAGACCACGAGGAGGGTAGCTCACCAACGGCGCGCTACCAGACGGGCGATATGGGAAGTCGACGCTGGGGAAGCCAGATTTTCACAAGCACTTCGAGATTTAGGAGCACGCGTGGAGACGCTGTGGCTCTAAATGCCTTTTGGGATTTCGCAGGGGAGGGTCATCAGAAAGCATTCCTTGAGAAGCTGGCGGAGGAGCTGCCTGACAAGGTTCATCAGTCACCAATGTGCAGACCCTGGTCCAACATGCAGGAACTCAACATCCGCCAGCGCCCCGGTTGGAAGGAGTGCCTCACCGAGCAACGTGAATGGCATCATCGAACGCATCTGCAGTTGGTGGCCCAGGTGCATCGCACACAGCAGCAAGGAGGGCGACGTGCTCACGCTGAACATCCAGCTACGTCGAGGGCGCGGCATGCCGTGGTCTTCAGCCGCCTACACGGCAAACGCAGCATGCGCGACCGATGCGTGCACGGCCATGCGATCGGGGGCAGCGCGAACATGGCCAAGAAGCCGACGACGCTTAAGACGACCAAGAAGCTCATAGCAGCGGTACTCAGCGAGTGATGCGACCGATCACATGGACGCGACTTACTGGAGGGGCGGCAGTGCACCAAACCCGCCGAGGACTACCCGATCATCCTATCAGCGACGACAGCGCAAGTCATGGTCGAGCCGGAGATCGAGGACATCTACGCAGCCGAGGGCCCAGCGCAATCGGAGGATGGCACCAAACCCGAGCATTCGGACTCCAGTCGCGAAGTTCACGAGAACGCGCGCCTACGAGACCATGTCGGCACGGAGGCACCACGCTACGTCAAGAGACTTCACCAGAACAATAAACACCCCGACCCAGCAGTACGACATCGTCTACTTCAACAGGCAGGCCCCCAAGACAACATCCCACAGTGTTCATCGGAGTATCGGCGTGCGCACTGCATGGCCAGACAACTTCCACCAAAAGCACCCAGTGCGTCAGCGAAGCATGCCACCCAGTTCAACGAGATCGTCTGTGCGGGTGCCTTCTGGATCAAGAATAGTACCGGCAAG